AGGTGATATTCATGATCTAATCATCGAACTCTATCCAACCATGTAATAATAAATGGGATTTTCCCTCCTGCTTGATTTCTTGACTTTGGTGCTCCTTACTGAAATACCACAAGTTGAGATCATAATGAATGAAATCTAATTAAAAAAGCTTTATCTATGACATTACTTTTATGCTACTGTTAAAACATAATAAGAACAGATAGTCAGAAAAAACATAGTTATCAAGACCCTATGAGTGATTCTTCGAGGGAAAATTCGATGAGTATTCTTATTAATTACAAAAATATGTCAGAGAGCTTGGTAAATTAGGAGATGAGTATGAACTTGTATTGGCTGCTAATTTAAAATACAGGAAGTTATATGACACAAACTTGAAACAATGACAAAAGAAATAGATCACAAATAATTACACTTTGGGTTCAAATTTTTATCAAAATTAGAATAGAAATAGAGTCGTATCTTTAGTAAAGATGACAATAGAATATTCACCAGGGATTGTTTTTGTCTTATGTACTTATCATCGGGATACTCATGTTCGAATATACATTGAAAATAATATTGCTTTATATGCATATGAGTTTGAACGACATTTAAACTTGAAAAGTGTTATATTGAAACAATTCTCTAACGTATTAAGATCTTGAAAAGTTATATTCCTAGCTAAATCAATTAATTCAACATGATTATTTTTAAGAATAGTGAAAGACAATATTTTTTCCAAAGTGCAATCATTGGCACAAGAAAAAGAGACTTATTTCAATCTAAAGCAACTACCTATTTCTATAGACTTTCAGTTTTGTTATTGTTTATAAGAAAGACAAGAAATTCATTTAGACGCATAGCCGAGCCTGTTTATCTAACGCCATTACTGATTAACACAAAAGACAAGAAATTCATTTAGACGCATAGCGGAGCCTGTTTATCTAACGCCGTTACTGATTAACACAAAAGAATGAATCTAATTAAGTATTATTGTCCTGCAGACAATAGGCAATCAATAAGTCCGACTGCACATAATTCAAGTTTTAATGAGTCAAATTTATTTCGCATCATATTTTTATACGTAAATAAGAGAATAATGAAATAATAATTTCTCCAGATGAAGCTCAGAAAAAAAAATCATGCACGACTGAAAAAATCTTCTGATATTATTAAGATAACATCAAGCACTTGTTCTCTTTTGTAACTTGAACAAAGATAGCACATCTGTGTTACCATTTTTTTCCGGATTACAATCTCAGTAAAAATAAATTTTGAAAAATAGAAAATCTTTATTTTTCTATACACTTATTCATAAATGAAAAGCTTCAAAAGAGTCCAACAAGTATTACGTATGTTAATTTGATTATTTATAAAACAAAAAAATACGCAATGATAAATCTCATTTTAATCTTTCATTTCTGAGGGCACCTGCTCCAAATTCATTAACTGCTACAGACATAATTTGTGTAAAGTGTTTTTGTGAAAACTTGACAGAAATAGCACGATTAATTAGGAAGTATATACAATTTTCAGACTAGTCTGGCCTGCCTACAAGTCATGTTTTATTTCTGTGCTCTATGAGGCAGTGCACGTAAGCCACGACCAGTTACAGCAAAAGGTTGCTCAATCGATCTCACTGATTTGGCTCATATTTTTATAGTAGGTAGCCCTAACAAAGTTAAGAAGAAACTGAGAATTTAATCTCGAACGGATGATCTATTCTGGAGATATATGCACTCGAAGTAAGCCGGGGTCGGATTCTCTGTACTTCGACAATTTTCAGTAAATTTTCATTTTCTCAAGAACGATAAGAGCTGCAACGAAACGCTTTTCACCATTAATAGTATAGTCAATGGGCTATGGTTTGATGCTATTGAAAGTATCTTATGTTGGGAAAAAATTTCTCGATACGATCGATCTGTCTCAGAAAACAGGGTCCCAGCGTGTAGGGCCAATTGGTCAA